ACAGAAGATATGTAATAAAGTAACCGACGAAGACTTGCGAGCCGCTTGCGCTTTTCTAACAAATTGTTTAGCGCTAGTAAACCATAATAAAGGTTAAAATTTAAAAACTAACTAATAACGTTTAAGTAAAATCTATGGAAAATTAACAATAAACTGATTTTTCGCAAAATATATAAATGGCCTTTTTATTTTTCTAAAAACCTGCGCGACAGTGGTTATTTTACAGCCTGTATATGACAAAAAATGAATAGCTGGAAAAAGGAGTACAAAAGAAGTACAAAACTAAACAAGGAGTACATTTCCAGTTTTTTTTTGGGAGTACAAGGGAGTATATTGCACTATAAAGGACTATGTTTACTCCCAAAAGTAGTACGTCTGGCAACCCTACCGGACAGTCTGGATTTTAGTCTGCAGCTCCGGTGAAACTTATAACCTAATCGCAGCATACGTACATTAGGGCGGTCCTTAAGAATGGAATGGGCGATTTTTTTCAGTCCCACCCCTTCAGTCGGTAATACCACGGTCACAGATATCACGTACAAATTTTGGTCCCGATTGGACTCGGTTAAGGTGTCTTGCAATAGGGTCAAAGGCCAGATGCTCTATGGAGACTCAGAAAATTTTCAAATTTGTTGGTTTTGCCGACTCGAGGTCAAATTTTTTTTGGAATCATAATTGAAACACAGGTTTTTTATTCTCTCCAATATATTTCAGTTACACCGCGGTAACCGTCTTCAGGGCAAATTGATTACACGTCTGCTCCGTGCGACGTGGAGTTTTGTACATGGAGCAGACGGTTACCGCGTGTAACCGAAATATATTGGAGAAAAATAAAACCCTGTGTCTTAATTAAAATTTCGAAAAAATTTGACCTCAAACCGGCAAAACTAACAAATTAAGAAGTGAAAAGGTCGCCAAAACCATCATCAATATTTTTTTATTTAATACCCAAAATCGATACTGATAAAGTCGAAGATATCACATAAAAATTTTGGTCCCGATTGGAGTCGTTTAATACGTCTTCATAGCGTAATCTGAATTCACAATTTGTATGTGATATCTTCGACTATAGTTGCATCGACGTAGGGGTTGAAGCTTAGGAAATCTGATGTAAAAATTTGCTTACTACATTTAAGGACCACCCTAATGTACAAATGTACATGCATATGTACTTATCGCACACCATCTTCAAAAGTGACACAACTCAAAATGACACGTTCATCAAAAAATGCGAAAAACTATTTCGTAGCACATGCTAATCATATGCGCCAGGAAGACTTTACCTTAGGGTTTTTCGACAAATTATAACAAAACTTTGCTCCAGATTTTGCTGAAAGGTAACTAAAACTCTGTGTACATTTTTATTGCATTATTTCAAAAAATGCCAAATTTCGAGTTGTGTCACTTTTGAAGATCGTGCGGATATGTTGATTGGAGTAAAAGTGATCTGTTTCTCCTTTGTATTCTATACATTACGGTGCCCATTGAAATTGTTTTTTTTTTTGTTTGCAAGCCCCTACCCCCTAATTTTACAAATTGTTGCCTTTTTTCGTCGATTTAGGTAAGAAAATTTTGTAGATTTGTGAGTTTTTGAATGGCTATTTTTAATTCAATTTCAAAGATCGAATATGATCTGAGAAGAGGATATATAGACGTTTAAAAAGCCTAAGCACAATTTTTATACAAAATTTGGTCGAGATCGGTCAAGTGGTTTTTGAGACACGCATATATCATATAAGTGGGCGGTGCCATCCCCATTTTCAAAAAAGNTTTGAAAGCCCCTACCCCCTAATTTTACAAATTGTTGCCTTTTTTCGTCGATTTAGGTAAGAAAATTTTGTAGATTTGTGAGTTTTTGCTATTTGGCTATTTTTAATTCAATTTCAAAGATCGAATATGATCTGAGAAGAGGATATATAGGCCTTTAAAAAGCCTAAGCACAATGTTTATACAAAATTTGGTCGAGATCGGTCAAGTGGTTTTTGAAACACGCATATATCATATAAGTGGGCGGTGCCATCCCCATTTTCAAAAAAGTTATTGAAACTTAAAGAGCGATTGATTGATATTTATCAATTTTGAATAAATATTGATGAATTCNCCTAAGCACAATGTTTATACAAAATTTGGTCGAGATCGGTCAAGTGGTTTTTGAAACACGCATATATCATATAAGTGGGCGGTGCCATCCCCATTTTCAAAAAAGTTATTGAAACTTAAAGAGCGATTGATTGATATTTATCAATTTTGAATAAATATTGATGAATTCCTTAGCCACACTGCTCAAAAAATCTGTAGGTTCGGTACATACACAATATAAATTCAAGGCCGTAATTAATAAAAGTCGCCTTATCAGTTTATATAAAAATAAATTTATTTTTAGATACTACTACATATTTTGAAATTGTGGAACTTATCGAAGGCCAAAATTTGAAAAATTAAGAGAAATATGTTTTTTTTTTTATTTTACCCGATAAAAAGTCCCAACAATCCAAGTCCGCCAATAGATTATTATATACCATTTTAAAGGCCTATGTATGCTCTTCTCAGATCATAGTCGATCTTTGAAATCGAATCAAAAATAGTCATTCAAGCACTCATAAATCTACAAAGTCGTATTTTCTGACCTAAATAACCTTTAAAAAATCTATAACAATAGGCAATAATATTTGTCATAAAAGCTAATAAAATTGCAGGGGTAGGGTCTTGAAATTTCCCCCCAAAAAAAAAACATTTTCGATGGGTACCCTAATGTGCATAAGTTCATNCCTACAAAGTCGTATTTTCTGACCTAAATAACCTTTAAAAAATCTATAACAATAGGCAATAATATTTGTCATAAAAGCTAATAAAATTTGGGGGGTAGGGTCTTGAAATTTCCCCAAAAAAAAAACATTTTCGATGGGTACCCTAATGTGCATAAGTTCATAGTCATATCGTCACATCTGTACCGTTAGTTCGATTTTAAAAAATTAGGGCTTGGTCTACAGATGTGTAGTAACATTTTCGAAAAGGGTTGCCACTTGATAAATAATTAAATTCAATATATAATTCAATAAGTTAATTAAGTATTAAAATATGAGTTTCGATCGAAATGGTTTTGAAAACGCTTTATTTCTTAATTATACGTAGGAGGTTTGCCACCTTTTTAAAAGGGGAAGTTCAATTTAAATTAATGCAATTAGAAAATTTAAATATGTATCATGATAGTGGTGTCAGGCAAAGAAGGTTGTGGTCAAAAATATTTTGTAGAGGGTTGCCACCTGTTTACAAAGTTACATTCAATGTATGCAATAGGTAAATGATTACTACTATATGGATATCAATTAGTTGGTTAAAGAATAGGACCGCAAATAAGTGTTCACTGATTGAGAAAAATGCTGACCTCTCTTTCTTTCGCTTTCCCATATTTTTATACCCGAGCGCACTTGTGCACAAGGGTATATTAATTTTGTTCACAAACGAATCGTGATAGATATAGACAAATGTATACATAAATGCTCAGAATGAATAGGGAAGTCGATTAAGCCATGTCTGTCTGTCCGTCCGTCCGTGTACACGATAACTCGAGCAAAAATTGAGATATCTCAACGAAATTTGGTATGTTGGTTTCCATTTATCCAAGGTAGATTGGTATTGAAAATGGGCGAAATCGGACTGTAATCCCGCCCACTTCCCGTGTAACGGTAATTTTCAAAAATACGAAAACTGCGATGTTTTAGTAACTACTGAAGATAATTCACTCAAAATTGATATTTACAATAACTTTTAGACGAAAAATGAGAATATTGTAAATTTTTGGAAAATGGGCTTACCCACGCCAACTTATGGTTACATGTGTAAATCTTTATTGGCCTTGGTACAGCATACCAAATGGCCGAAAATTTTTAAAATCGGACAATAACTACGTCCATATCCCATATAACGGTAATTTAGAGAAATACAAAATCTTCGATAAATCAGTAAATATTACAGCTAATTTATTCATATTTGATGCTTGCAACAATTCTTTACTAGAAATACGTTCATAGTAAAATTTTGGAAAATGGGCGTGGCACCGCCCACTTATGATGACATGTATGTATATCGGTAACCGTTCTACCGATTTGTACCAAACTTGGTACGGTTATAGTGCTTGCCACATAAGCAAAACGTTGAAACTTATTGAAATCGGACTAAAATTACGGCAAATTTCAGAAATGCCTGAAACTTCAATATTTCGAAGTTTGAGGACGCTAATTTACTCAAAATTGATTCGGAAAGGTGAAAAACATATATTTAATACTTGCGTCGGGTATTTAATGTTCGGCTCCGCTCGAACTTAGACTTTTTCTGTTACCTTTTTTTGGAAAAATTAAGATTCATAGTCCTGTTCAGTGTAACCAATTTAGGTAAAAAAAAAACTAAAAAATAGTGTTATTTATACAAATATTAGTTCCTTGAAACGTTTATTTCAATGTGCATACATATCGAAAATGTAATATAAAATTCATTAGGCGCGCGGCCGGGCAATAGCTCAGTTATGCATACTCTGTTAAAAGAACTTTCCGCGATAGTGGTTGCTCAACGCACAGCATTACATATGTAGAAGTCTGTTGGTTTTTGATTTCTGCGTAAAAATGGCATACCAGTACAAAGTATGCATAACTGAGCTGTAACTCTGGAATCTTATAAAAATTGTTGGTTCTCTATTGCTAATCTCACTTATTTTTTATAATATGCATGAACTAATTCAAAAGCACCGTGTTTTTTATGAAAGTCAAACTCGTATATTTACTTTAGTATTTCTTTTTGGCCTCACTTATTGCTAATATAAACTTTGTCAAATTTTTGCTTTAGATCCGCGAAGCTCTTAAGTCAACAACGTAACATGCACCAAACACCAACATGCAATTGTTACATGCAACATTGGTAGCAGTCAGGTCAACAATGGTGCTATAAATATCATGTACTGAGTTAGTTAATGGCAGTTTGAATTCGCAACTGTAAAAGTACCAACCATGGGAAAGCATGCGAGTTGGGTGCTGGTAATACTCCATATTTTCAGCTTTTGGTTGTCTTGTCAAGGCCTTATGAACGAGCATCAAGAGACGGCAAGGAGTGTCATTTTCTTACGTTCGCAAATAGAAATGGATTCGGAGCCGTGGATATCGGGCATAGGTTGTTTAGATTCGTTCATTAATATCGCCTTCACGCACCGCGAGCGGTTGACGCGCTCCTACAATCTACTTATGACAAACAGCTACTATATTTCTTCGCCGGCCTTAGAGATACAGAATGGGCTCTTAAAAATTTTGAATGAACTGGTTAGCCAGAGCAATGATAAAGGGCGACGGATTTTTCAGATTCGCACAGTCTTCGACAATAAACGATATGTGCAGGTGAAGTTCGGTGACAGCGCAGTAATATACACTGATTACTATGTCATTGTAGTGGACAGTTTAGAAAGGCTTAAAATATTTATGCGGGACTATATTAGTCGCATGGTTTCTTGGAACCCTGGAGCCCGCTTTTTGCTGTTATTCAACAATGCGTCGAAGCGGGATAACGAACACGAGGTGGCAATGGAGGTTTTCACCCTTTTGCAGAAGCAATACTATGTCCATCAAATAGGTCTTCTGTATGCAACTGGTGAGACAGACTACTCATTCTCAGTAATGGACTACTACAATAATGAATACTGTCGCACTATAAGAGTGTCCAAAATAGGCGAGTGCAAAAAAGGGCAGCCTCAACCGAATGCGGCCGAGGTTAAACGGAAGCTGCGCAAATTTGAACGCGATATTAGGATAAAAAATTGCACCTTTCAAATGTGCGCAGCCGTATCAGCGCCTTTTGTGGAGAAAAGCTGCCGGACTGGAATAGAGTTGCGTATTATAGGTTTCATGAGAAATCGTCTAAACTTCAAGGTAAATATGGAATCTCCTTATTATATTTATTCACGGCCTGCTCCTTAATTTACAGATCAAGCATTCTTGTGAAGAAGAGAGCAGAGGAGTGCGTGAAGAGAATGGAACATGGACTGGGCTGCTGGGAAGACTATTTGATCGTGACTGTGATTTTATACTTGGCGGATTCTTTCCTGACAACGAGGTTAATGAAAATTTCTGGACTTCCGACTGTTACCTCTCCGATAGCTATACTTGGTTTGTGAAACTCGCTGATCCAAGACCTGCATGGATCGCTCTCTACAGCATTTTCCAAGACGAAACGTGGATATGCTTTATTGTTTTGCTTAGCTTTACTTGGATATTCTGGTACTTTTTCGTAAACATGCTTCCTGAACCACCAGACCACAAAGATTTTTCGCTAGCAGGCATTAATGCCATGGCTGTCTCTATATGCGTCGCTGTCGAAGAGCGCCCAGAGTGTTTTGCTTCTCGCATTTTCTTTCTCGCAGTAACTATTTACGGAATGAACGTTGTTGCAATTTATACTTCGCAGCTAATCACCGTATTCACTGATCCTGGCTATCTACACCAAATAGACAATCTCGTCGAGGTACTTGAAGCGGGCATACCTTTTGGAGGTCCAGATGAAAATCAAGACTGGTTCGAAAATGACGAAGATATGTGGATCTACGAAATGTATAACGACACGGACTTCTTTATACCAAACTCAGATAATCTTCGTGCTGTGAGGAATGGCAAACGTGTCTTACTTGCGAGTCGAATGTATGTGTTGCAAGATCGCCTCGCCGATGAACTTTTTGCATTTCCAAAGAACGTTTTTTCTAGTCCACTACAAATAATAATGAAAGCTGGATTTCCATTAGTATCTGATTTCAATTGGCTCATAAGAGCTATGCGAGACCATGGAATTTTTCAAAAGATCGACAATGATTTTCGCTTCAACAACACCTATCTTAATCGAATAAACCGCATGCGACCAGAGTTTAAAGGTAATAATGAAATAAGTACACGAGCCTGCCACCCCCTTAACCCTTCTGCAATGATTGACTGACCCAACTGACCCAATTTTTATGAAAAAATTCTTTAACAACAGAGTTAGGTAATTTTAAATGAGCTGCGGCGTTGTCTATTCGTTAAAAGCATAATCAGCTATGGTTTCGCAAAAATATAAGAGTGTTTTATTTTATTTAGTTTTCTAGAAGGCGACATAGTTTTTCCATACATCCACAGTGTTTCTGGGTCAATTTGATCCAAATTATTATTTGGTAACTTTGAAACGGTAAGCATACAGCACTTGCCGATAAAGATTTTGCTTATGATAAATAAAATATTAACTTAATTTAAATTGAAATTTCTATTATTGGATCAAAATGATCCAAAACATTATAGGAAGGGGTAAATTCCAAACACTGAAGAAGGGCATGACAGGTATTAGGTACAAATCTACGAAAAAAGAAATAAAAAATTCCATTACGTAAGTTTTCCGAGAAAATAACTTTTCCAGTGTTCATAGTGTTTCAATGAATTAATGGTGTTAACTACGAATTTACATAATTCTTTCTGATTCCTTAGCCTCTTTAGGATAATTTTTAGCTTTTTGATTATTTTTGGCTTTCCATGAAAATTTTCAACATTTCTGCATGTGATCAATAAAAATATATTTTGATGTGCTGGAAAGGTCGTAATTCAAATTAACGTACGAAAATATCAGAAAAAATAACATAATTATCTGAAGGGGAAAAGGCTAAATTTCGCAGGCCCGTGTTATTTAATATAAAAGAAAAAATAAAAGCATCAATAAGAACACATGATCCTTTTGCAGAGTCTGCAATTGTTCTCACCACTGATCACCTCAAAGGTTCCTTTTCCATTCTGGTCGTTGGAGTTGTTGCAAGCATAATTTTGTTCGTGTGTGAGCTTTTTGCTTTCTGGATTTTCATGCCTTATTTGAAGAAGTTTACCAATGAGGAGAGGATGGACCGATCTGAACGAGGAAAATCATTCCAAACGCTAGTTAAGAAAGATAGAAGGAATAATAAAAATAGAGTAGTAAAGAAAAATAACGAAATGAAAAAGAAGCCAGTTAAATCAAGTAAAAAGAACAAGAAATCCGAGAGCAAAACCTACAAAGTGGATGTTGTAAATAACATAAGATTCACGCCAGTGAAACGACGATATATAGATTTGAATCCTTATTAAGCTTTTATGGAAAAATTACAGCTTTTCAATATTTTATAATTAGATTTTTGTGATATGAAAAGCAATAAATCAATATCTACAGCTTTAGATATTTATGTAAATACATACATAAGTTGGTATATGCTGTTACCCACTATGCTATATAAAACTTGTATTAAAATTTTCGCAAAGCAAGTGCTTGAAGAAAAATGGTTTGAAAGGGAACGGATTCGTATAAGTTAAACTTAGGACAACTGCCATTTAACTACCAACGGGAGATAGCGATTTACAGAAGGCTATTAATAAAATTGAAGGTTATGCACCCAAACAGGTCGATTTAGATGTATCTGGGATCCACAGTACTCCAACGAGAAAAGTCAGTGTGGAGCGCTCTTTTTCGGCGCTAAAACTGAGTTTTAAAAAACAAATACTTCTAAATAAAACAAAAATTAATGCGCGTGGGGTGCGCTACGGAAGTGAAACTTCCCTTGATTTTTTTAACCATAACAACGGAAGTGGCACTTCGTGTTACCCATGTAGAGTTTTGTGAGTTTGCGTCACAATCCACTATTAGGCCCATACCATTTGAATCGGCGTACGTAACGATGTCCATAAGCTCCCTCGAAGGAGGGAGGCTATAGAATCATATGGTAGGAAGGAGGAAAATATAATGGCCTCGGCGCGTTGCCCGCCCGTACAGTACACAATTTTTATCGAAACGACATCTTGAGAGCAGAACTCTCTAAATATCGTGCACTCGGCACTATAACGCATGTGCGTAGTCTTTCCGTCCGTTTAAGTTGAAGGATTTCCACCCAGGAAATCTCTCCAAGTCTACATATAGAGATGGTTCCTGAATTATGAATACTTGGAGATTTGCTATGCTGCAAATCAATTTAAAAATAATTTCCGTAGGCAGCGACCATAAACGCATTTGGTTCGAAGGACTTTCAACAAGCCTGCGTCAATGGAAAGAGCCGTCTCCATCGCTAGAAGTCGGTTTTCCCCTGGTGTATGAGTAAATACGCAATTTTCTCGCTTTAGAACATCGCTTGGTTTCCGAGAAGGCCCTGGTGGTTCTTATCATTTTTAAATTGCATCTAACTTTTTGGGCTAATTTTCAGTTGGCATTTCGGGTGCAGAGTTAGATACCAAAGGAATTTGAGCACTCGCCTTGGCTATAGACGCAGCCTTCTTCTCCATTTACCTCCTTCTCTTCACCTGCACTGCGGTCAGCTTTTCACCCGTTCGAGGATCACCAATACAGGATTAATCCATACCGACACTCTCCCGGTTTGCACCAGGTTTAACCATTGTTGGTTCCATCTCTGAAACCAGTGTCCGCTTTGAAAGAGGAGAAGGACCATCAAGCATCTTCACATCTTGTCACAACGTTGGTTGCTCCAGAATGTTGCGATGGTAGTTCGCCCTCCACTTCATTTAGGAGTAGGCTCTCCATTGCCAAAGTCAATGTGCCGCTTGTTTCCACCGAGACCCTGGGTGCCAATCGCTTCATGGTGGACCGTGAGCTTTGGGCCTGCACATCCGATGCCCAGGCCGCCGTAAAATGGGTGGAGGATTTTCAGCTTGCTGGTTATCCCGTGCAGAGGTATCAGGATTTGGCTCCTCCATGAGGAAAAGGAGATTGTAATCTATCCTTACTGCTAAGCGGTGGCCCTTTCAAAGGGTATTCTTCCCGTCATCCTCCTACTTCCCGACATGCACCGAATGCCATTCGCAATGCTCCAATCAAGCAAATCTTGGGTTTCGTTCAAAAACATCCCCAATCAAGAGAGTAGGGTGCAATCGGTGAGTAAATGTCTCACACAGTTGCACCATCACCCGTTGAGAAGGTCTGATTAGCGATTCGACTGACCCCTCGCACCGTGTCAAGGTGCTTGCTTTCACGACCGTATCTTTTTTCCGTTTTGTTGTTTATTCAATAAGTGATTACCAGTAAAAAAACATGGTTAATTAGGAAATACAAATTCAAATAATAGATTTACTGCGGAAGGGTGAGACCGTAGAAAAAGTGGTAAAAAAATGTTGCCATTGGAAAATGCTAAGACTGAGAAAAAATATAGCCACAAGTGTTCCTAATTACAAAGGAAGTCGGGCAAAGAATATTACGGTGTGACCTCTTGTGACCTTAGTAATCGATGCAGCCACTCTTGCAGAAGCGCACAAGGTATTAAACTTTAATTTAAGTCAGTAGACAGCGAGGCACAGTATTGCCAAATTGAGCATAATGCAGCGCAAGAAACCCAGACCGTTGCTAATTGAGATATGGTAGCCCGGGCATGGTATTGGATTAGTGACCCTAATTAAGCCCAAACGCGTCGTGTTAGAAAAACCGTGAATCACAGTGGTGGGTCAATAATGGGTTGTATTTCAAAAAATTGTGTTGGTCCGTTATGCGTAAGGAATAGTATCTGGTCATCTTGCAAAATTTGCCAGGTGTAGTGAAAAAAATGAGAGTTGCTGCTGAAAAATCAGGCGAAGCACACTGTTCATGTTGACAAAGGCTGGATACAAAACCAAACATTTCCTAATTGTAAGTGGCCTCCACCACCTCCCGGCATGAATCGTAAGTGTTCAATGTGGTAAATGAACTGTGAAAGCAAACTACGGATTCACCTTCAGAAATTTTACAAAGATTAACCTTCAGTAAGCCAAGTCGCGTCCAGCAACTTAGAAAAGGAAAGGGATACTGAAAATCGTACTACTTAATAATTTTTTTCTTTCCTCTTTCAAAAATATCCAATTTCATAAAATTTCAATGCCTATTTATCATATTGCTCAAGCGTTAGACGATAAAGAGTCCATACACCTTCGTAGCCCATTACGCCCATTAGGGTACTTAAATCTGACATTATAGACAATGGTTATTATGTAAAAAAATATTTAAAAAATGCTATAATCAAAAAGAAAAACATTCACTTATTTTTTTTTGTTTCTTTATACGTTGCACATTAATGTAAAAAATGTATAATTAGCGCCCATAATAAGACGGAAGAAATACATTTTTTCATTAAGTNGTTTCTTTATACGTTTCACATTAATGTAAAAAATTTATAATTAGCGCCCATAATAAGACGGAAGAAATACATTTTTTCATTAAGTTTCGTTAAAAGGCTTCCAAGATACAGCACTTTGAAGAAAGGTATGTATGACATTTTTTATTAAAATTTAAGTCCCGTGTAAATAGGCAACCCTACGTCATATCGGCAAATTATGCTGCACGTATATTCATGTCACCTAGACTTTCAATCTCAACTTTCATCCAAATCCTTAGAGGTCGCGCACAGAGGTGGCCGCGGTGACATGAAATGCCTCCTCTTCAAATACTTCAATAGATTCTACATGTCCAACCTTAACATTTCTAAACACTCCCTCGTTTGACACGTTAATTTGAGTATAATTAATTTAAATTTGATTTTTACTACAGGTGGCAAACCTCTCCAAAATATTTTCCAACTAAAATGTTATTAAACCCTTTGGTCTGACACCCATACTGTGATATACATTCCAATTACCTAATGCCCTTAATTCAAACAAAATTTAATATTTCAAACAGCTGGCAAACCTATTATTATTATTGTCATTATTATTGCTATTGTTATTAAACCCTTATGTCTGACACCCATATTGTGATATACTTACATTCCAATTATTTCATTCCCTTATGTTAAGTAGAATTTGATTTTTTAAACAGGTGGCAACCATCTACGGTTACCAGACGTACTGATTTTATCAATACAGTAATGATTTTTCAACTCTGTACTGACTGTATTAATTTCTTCAATCAGTACGCTAATGTCCTGATTTTTCAAAATTTGTATTGATTTGTACTGAATTTTCAATTCAAACAAAATACTTTAGATTTACTTAATGTTTTTACATAACGTTGGAACTTCCTTAAACTGTACTGTAAAAAGTAAGAAGAAAATAATTTCATTATAGTTGACCTGTTTCAGATAATGTTTCATATCCCCAAGAAATTAATACAACAAAAAGTTCAATCCTTTTGTGGGTCCGGGTCGTTACGTACCAGTTGCGATAATATGATGGAGCTTAATTTATTTAAAAAGAAGGCTGACGTTTTTTTGTCGAGTGTTGCTAGTTATCTGGAAAATAAATTTCAGTTTAATAACAACAAATTTGAATATTCGAATGGCTTTTGCCTATAACTTACAACTCTTTTTTCACAATTTACTGACACTTTAAAAGAGTATTGCATAAAAGACATAGAGTTGGATACTCTTTTTAGCGAATTATTAGTCTTTCAAAGTTTTTGCATAGTTGAAAAAATTTATTTGAGCCATCAGGAATTATATATGCAGTCTTTAAATAGTGGTACTTTTCCACAGTTAGAAAAAATATGTAATTTTGTTTTTTCAGTACTACACTCAAACGAAGCAACTGAGAGGATCTTTAGTATAATATTTGCTTGCTGGCGCAAAGAGAGCAACCGGCTTTTAATTAAAATTTTTTAAAGTGAACTTCATATTGAAGTAATTTTAAAGAGAAATGTATAGAATTCTTTGATACGGAAGATGGAAATGAACTGATTATTGCTATTCAAAAATGTCATAAATATAAAATAATTTATTGGCTTCTGTGCACAATTACTACGTTTTATTTCAAATAGCAATTTGCAAAATGGTAAACTTTGCCGTATAAACGCTTAGTTAATTTTTTATTTGCAAATAACTA